TAGCAATTGTTTTTTGGGAGATGAATCAGCAGATCTCTTCTGCATCCTAGATAGGTTCAATCAATGTTTCCATAAAGAGCAATGTCAGAAAATGCACAGCTTTTCTGTGTGTCCTAGTGGTAATAATTGCTGGCTTGCATGAGGGTGAAGTAAAGAAATTGAACACAGGGGATTTATCTAGGCCTGAGAAAAACAAAATCTCCTTTGTTAGCTTTTGTAGGCTTGCAGTTCTCTCCTATCTGTGTGTTTGGAAGTTGTATAGCATATATGGACAACTGTAAAAGTCATATTTGATTATTGGTATTACTATAAAAATCCTAAGGGAATGTATTCTTGTTGTTCATCTTAAAGAAAAAGAAAGCACTGGTGTATTTAGAAGTCATTCTTACAAACAAGAAGCCTACTTCGTGTTTTTTCTACCTGCATTTGAAAAATCAGCATGTAAAATTCCATTGCAAAAATATTAATGATCTTCCCATTTCTCTAATTTGCTAATGTACTCAGTATACTATTTTACCCTTTTTCAGATCATCACACTATTTTTAAATGTACTTATTTTACATTGAAGAGAAATGCAATAAACACTTATTATAAATGTACTACGCGTCTCTGCCTACTCTTGAGATAAATGTTCACAATCTATTTTCCAGTGATAATATTGATCCCCTTGAATTGTGGATGTCAATTGTTACTTGTTTTAATTTCTGCTATGCAATTATTTTATTATTTTATGAAACTTATCTATGTCTACAGGGGGGTTCTTGCAAATCACATGAGAAAGACTTATAGTCTGTCACTGAAATACTCTGCATATTGCAATTATTTTTCAGGGGGTTTTCGACCCCTAAAGACAGCTGTCTTTGGCATTTTCTGACCTGTGAGGAGACAACTCAGCTTGCTGAGCAAGTAGAAAATGGGTAATTGTTTTGTCAGATGAGCTTTCTGCCAGCTCCCGGAAAACAGGCTTGCTTTAGTAAGAGATGATCGGCAGACCTGGCACTGTGAATGAAGTAGGAGCGTGGATGTGTGGGTCAGGGAGGGAAAGGAAACAGTTTCTAGTGTCTATAGAAAATTGGTAGGAGATCACTGTGACTTCCATACAGTTCTCCTTATGTTTTCCCAGCACTGTTGTAGTACCAGCTTCCTGTGCTGTGGAATATCTGCAGAAGGAAAGAAGACTACAGACGGAGCCCACACAATCTCTCTGGGCAATGTATTCCCGTGTTTGACCACCTCATAGGACAAGAGTAAGATCCTCCCGGAGCCTTTGCTTCTGCCAGGCAGAGAGTCCCAGCTCCCTCAGCCTCTTCTTGTCTGAGAGATGCTCCAGTTCCTAAATCATCCTTACAGCCCTTTGCTTGTCTGTCCTGGATGTCCGTGTCTGTCTCCCTTGTTCTAGGGAGCTCAGCCTAGTACAGCTGAGGATGCTCTTGGCCTTCTTTGCTGTGCATTTCTACCTCATGGTCAGCTTGTCCTTCAGGACCCCCATGTCCTTCTCTGCCAAGCTGCTTTCCCAATGGTTGGTCCCCAGCCTGTACTGGTGCCTGGGGTCATTCCTGCCCAGCTGCAGGACCTGACATTGCCCCTTGTTGAACTTCATGGAGTTCCTGTCTGTCCGTGTCTGGCCTGTTGAGGTCCCTCTGACTGGCAGTGCAACCATGCGATGTATGAGCCACTCCTGCCAGCCTTGGGTCTGCAGAGTAGCTTGAAGGCTCCCTCTGTCTAGTAGCTGAGAATGAAGCTAGAAAACAACGATTCTTACCCCATGTGTTCCAAAATGGAGTATTTTCATAGCGTTACTGGAATGGGTGTAATAACGGATGTTCTGTGAAATAAGAGAATGAAATACGGCCTTTAATCTGTCATTGCTCCTCAGAAAATGCAGGAGGCCAAAAGGGGATAATAGTACACAGAGGAAGGAGAAGACTTATTTAAATCAAAGAACAAATGAGGCATAAGAAGAAATGGATATGAATTAGCTACAAATAGAGTTAGTATGGAATGAAAGTGTCTCTAATGAATAAAAGTGTGACATTCTGAAGTTCATTTTGGAATGAGTTTCCTACTTCCAGTAGGACTAATTGGGGTTAAGTATCTTTGCTGTTTCTAAGATGGAATCTTGATAAGTTTATGAAAGTAGTTATTATATTAAGATTGTTATTAATTATATTATGACAGGATTGTCTGCAGTAACAGGGAAGTAGACTTGATGACTCAAGATGTCTGTGTTTCTTACATTGACCTGATTTTCACTGCAAGTAATTTAATACAGCTTTGCAGAGAAATTTGAATAGAATGTGGAAAGAAATGGAGAACTGATAGTAGTCTTTTTTTTCAGCTAAAGAGGATTCTTTGTAAAATAATTTGACTAGCTGTAGCTTCAACATTGCCTTTGGCCCAAGAGTAGTTTGATACCACCGTTCTACAAAGATAAAAATATGTTAATTGACGCTGAGAAGAGACTGATTCCTCCTTCTCGATAACATTTAGCTTTCTAGATTATTAGATTTTTAAATTGTGAACTAATCATACTTAAAGTGGTTGATAAGTATATGAACTTTTATACTAAGACTTTGTTTTGCTTAACTGTTTATGTATATTTAATACTTTCTGCTTAATTATTTAGGAGAGAATTCTTTTCACTTAACCTGATTTTTCTAACATTAAATACCTAATGTACTGAACTGTGCTTCTGTGGTCAATGGGGAAAGAGGGGTGCACCAAGAGAAGGGATTTAGCTCATCCTGATGTATCTACAGCAGGTATGCAGGCTGCAATGTCCTCTAGAGGTGTTTGGAAACACTCAGAGACGTATACATTCGTTTGGCTGAGTATCTGACTGCACTTTCTTGACCACAGAGCCAGTGGAAATCCAATGAAGAGTGAGAGTTATGACATGTAGCTAAGGTGATGATCTAAATTTAGGTGGTCTTAATACATGAATTGAATCCTGCCCTATCTTAACTTTAGGATGAAAAGGCTAGATGGTAGAAATACAGGACTTGATTAGAGGAATGTAGAAAGCTATGTGAGTTTTATGTTTCTTCTTCAGGCTCTAGGACTTCAGACTTGAAGAGATTCACTAAACTTTATTATTATTATTTTTTTAATGACCATCATACAGAATTATAGTCTGGTTTCACATACCTAATACTTGAAGAGGAATGGTTATAAAGTTGACAGGAAAGTTGACTCTACCCTCATTATTTCCATCTGTAAATTTTGGTTATTACCTTTGTGGTTCTGGAAGAAAAAAAAATCACATTAAAAGTGGACAAATTTCCATTCATCTATGTTTATCAAAAATACTTTTTGCTTCTGACTTATTCTTTGCATATTCTCCTAATAGGGATAGCTCCATTTTGTTGTAGTTCAGCTCTAAATCTCTGCATTATATCTTTTTGCTAAATGCAAAGTTTTTGCTGTTTGCTAATGGCATTTCATCCAATTCTTGAGTATGTTTATTTTATGGTTGAGGTTGTGCTATTTGAAGAATCCTATGCATATCTTGGATGCTATTTCCAACATATAGCTTTATAATTTAGTTAGATGTTATCTCACTTTTCCTTAGCTTCCAAGCTGTTTTCCCATTACAGAAAATGGAAGAATTTTTGAATGTATTTTGATAGAAGCTCTTGCTTAGTCTGTTGAAGTTGAAACACAGTTTGTGCCATGATATTTCTATTACTTATTCTGCAGAAGAGCTCATTAATCAAAGCATAGTGTATGACGTTCTGGGGAATAGTGCAGAGAATCTGATTTTTGGTCAGCAGGGCTTTGCATGGAGACACATGTTGACTTGGAGGTCTCAGAATTATTTCTTGCACTGCTTTGAGCAAAGGGTTCACCTCTGTTTTCCCAAGTGGCCACTGCCAAAGCTTTCTGGCTCGCATTTTGACCCTTCATATATTCTTCCTCTCCCCACTCCGTTTTCAGATATATCGCATCCCGTCTTCCACATTCTCTCTTAAATTTCCATATCTGGAGATTCAAATCTATGTCTTCACCTCTGTGCTAGACTCTATGGTCACTCATTTTTTTTCACTCTACATGGAATATTTAGGGTTACTGACTTATAAATAAAATGATTGTCAGTGCTTCAATACCCAGTTATTAGCACACTCAGAGCCAGGAGCTGTCGATGGATTTTTCTAATGATTGTTTAATTTGGAATGAATGTCAGAAAATTGTCTTTGACCTCAGAGTTCATTGCTGTGAGATTAAGTGATTTTTGGCACACAGGTAAAATGCACGGGAAATTAAGTGCTACAAACTGTAGAAATCATGGTTCTTTGCAGAGACCAAGTACTTACACTTTGATACTGCAACATTGAGCCATATAACATTTGAATATCTTTATAGATTTGTTTTGTTGTCTCTTTATTATTAAATAAGAATTGCCTATTCCTTGTTTTTAAAAACAGCAACAACAAAAAAACTTAAATTTGGAGTTTTGGCAACCTTATGGAATTATAGGAAATCTGTACAGCCATAGGAAAGAAAAAAAAAAAAAACCCTGGGATTTTTCTACTGAAAGTGTCTATTAACATACCAGGATGCAGTGCACACAAATTACAGTAATGTGTATACAAATTACAGTAAAAACAGTTAGTCATAGTGGGGGTATAGCAAGGAGGAGGATTCTGACGGGAATTCTTCACTGTGATGGTCTAAGGCTCTCCTGCGCTCATTGTATTGACTTAGGGGAAGTTAAACCATCTGGGATTTTTCGGAATGTCATTATAATGGTCTTAAAAACATTGCAAGTCCTTAAAATTGTAATTTAGTTACTGAGTACTGCATTGAATAAGATCCTGGCTGTTGAATTAAACAGGAGTAATATGTCCAGGCAGCACCACGCTCAGCTTAACGCACAGGAGGGTGTTTTGGTTTGTCTGAAGAAGGGCATCTTCAGGGCGATGCATGTTGCTTGCCGTGGTGATTATGCAGAAAAAAGATAAGTATGCGCCCTTTCCTTAAAGCCTCTTTTTGCCTCGCAGGCGAGACGATGCGGATCGCCTCCTCGGAGTTCGCCGACGACCCGTGCTCCTCGGTGAAGCGCGGCACGATGGTGCGGGCGGCGCGGGCCCTGCTCTCCGCCGTCACCCGCCTGCTCATCCTGGCCGACATGGCTGATGTCATGAGGCTGCTGTCGCACCTGAAAATCGTACGCACCTTTCGCCTCCTTTCTTGCATTTTCTCTTCTGTATCAGCAGCGTTGAACACGTAGTGAATCAGGTCCCCTGGTCGTGGTTCTGCTCTGGTTTTAATCTATTCCTCTGGTGTTTTAAGAAAGTGTTGGACAAGAAGTAGAGGTTGGCATTTCCCATTAATTTTCCGATCTCACCAAACTTAATTTTTGGAAGCTCACCGGAAGTGCCCAATGCCCAAGCTCTCAGTGCTGTTGAGCAGCAAGCAGGCTGCGTTTGCTGAATTCACCTTGCAGTTTTACCCGCTGCTTTAGTAGCCAGGTACTTGTCACGTGCTGCTATCTTGTGGCATCGGGCAAGTACTACAGCTGTACTTTGGTTTTCCCCCGCTATGTCTTTGCACAACTGCAAGAGGGGCTCTGGAATTTGGAGTGAGACAGTAGTCCAGGAGCCTAATCAACTCCGTTAGGAGTAAAAATATAATGAAGAGGAATTGCAGGTTACCAGATAGTTTGCTATAGATTTGTATTCAGTTTTGGCTACTAAAATTCACCTATTGGTGAAAGCCTGTTAAAATGCTTTGCATTTGGACAGATGCATTTATTTATTTGCTATTTATTGGACTCTTGCACTATTTCTTGCATAAACAAGCACATAAAAATCCCTAAAACAACATGAAGCTCATGAAGTATGTCAAACCTGCAGACTACATGTGTGAGCTTGGCAGAAGAGATAGAGGATTATATTTTTCTATTTTTTATGACTGTCCAGAAAGCATTTCCTTTTTTTGTTGTCTTTAACAGCATAACCTTACAACCATCCTCTATTCTTACAAAGAGATGAGAACCTCTCAACTCACAAATTGTGCTGTTGAACAAAAAGGTTTGAAAAGGGGTTTTGTTATGAAAAGGCAGATCCTCTTCTGCCCAGATTCTAGCGAGCTCTGCTGCAATGAACACAAAGCTGTTCTCGCCTGCTCAGCCTGTCGGGCTGTGCCAGCGTGCAGCGTTAGCACAGCGGCTCTCGAAAATGCTTTTATTTTTCTTGTTCCAGCTTAGTACCCCACATACCCCTATTTTGGAAAATTCACACATGTTGTCCTCCTTATCAAAAAACAATTTAAGGACTTTAAGCTTGATTATGTTTTGCAGGTAAAAAAGGGTAATGTATTTCTGAGGATTGACAATATAAATTATTTTCATATCACTTTATAAAGAAAAGTAGTGTAAAGCCAATAAGCATTAAATCATAGTGGGCAGCAATGACCTAAGGTAACATGCAAAAACTAAAATTAATGAACTAAAATCATTCTGCATATCAAAGTTATGAAGCTTTGTTTATACTGTTGGGATCCTATGTCAGGGAAGTGAACTATGCTTCAGACTTCATGGGGCCTTTTCATCAACAAGTTAGATTGAATATAGGCAGTTCCTTTTCAGAAGGACCCTCATTTCACTCAGATTGTGTTTTGTTCTACTAGAATTAACACTAATATTTATGTAGTGGAGCTTGTGTCAGCATCTGCCAATATAGTCTGTGATGATGTAATTTTGTAATTGTAAATCTAGGATGAGGGTTTTGTGCTCATGTACTTCCAAATGCTTTTCCTATCCAGTTTATTCATTTCAGCATTTCCTAGGCTTGAGCTGAGGCTGCCATGGTAGAGAATGATCTCCAAGATCACGTCGTCAAACTGCAGTCTAACAAATCCTCCAGCGACTTGATTTAATAGTGCCTGGCAAGACGTACAAAAATGTGTATCAGTCGGTCATGCCTGTGCCTGTCATTACCAATATATTAAAGAAGAAAGATTGAGGCAGTTTAGTATAAATGCCTCTCAATCTGAGAGGAAGATATTCTTATTTCAGTGCATTATTTTTCCTTTCAAATACTTGTTTATTCTGAAGCCGTAACCTATAGGCTGTCTAAAACCATAAAGTTATCTGGTTTGACATGTGCTTCTTGCTAGAGTGCAGAACCCACTGAGGAAATAAGAAAATAATTTTTAGAGAAGAAGAAAAAATATTCCTTGGAACAGAAAGTTGTTTTGCAGGGTAGAAATGATAGATTTTTGTATGTCAGAGCAGTTGTTTTTCCTGCTATGGATAGTGTTAATGTCCTAAACACTTTGGGGAATATTTCAGGTGGCAGGAAAGTCAGTAAGATATTTTGATAATACAGCCCATTTGATAATACAATGATTTCTTACTTTTTTTTTTCTCCATTGAAAGTTGAGGTAATTAGATTTTGAATAAGGTGTTTCTTGCAGCTGTCAGACTTAGTAGAACTTTTCGAGCAAAACAGCTAAGGGTTTAGGTTTGTGAATCATACCTTCTGCTATGGAAATCTGCTGGTTGCTATTCTCCTGCCTCCTAAATTGTGAACATATTCTGTATAGACCTGTAGAAAGCAGGAATAGGTGTTAGGAAAGAGGAAGAATGGATGATTTTCCCTTTTCAAATGTTTTGCTTGAAACTACATTATTATATCGTGCAGGACAGAAACACAACTTCAAATTCCTATCTAATAACAGGAAAAAGTAATTGGTGAAAATAACATTTTAGTCATTTATTTATTTATTCTTCCATACATAAATTAAAGTTCCATGATAGATTTAATAGATAATCTGGGCAGATTATCTACTTTATCTAAAGCTTTTGTTTAGTCTGAAAGCAATTGATGAGAAGTTCCAAATAAGGCTGACAGGTTAAAAAGAGAATTACAAATTTATTCTGTATTGATTTTTTTATTATTATTATTTTCCTTACAAAGATTCAGTATTATTGATATATCAGGGTACATTTAAATGCTAACAGTATATTTCAGTCTCTTTTTTCAAAATTATTTTTCTTCTACAGTTAATAACTACTCTGCTTTCACACAAACATCTACAAGACATTAAGAACCTACTTATCACTTTTGCTTTAAAACAATATTAAACGTTTCCTCTTGTAAATAAGAATGGTGAAATGAGTATAGTTATGTCTTTTATGTTAATTATACATAATAACAAAATACAGTTATTGGAAAGTAATGCATGATGGCATCCAGACAGTTTTTATATTATGATACATAATTAAAGTCAGTGGAAATATCCTGAATTGGGCCCATGCAGCAAAGGATACTGTCTGGAATAGTTTGTGGCAGCTGGATTTAAGTGCTAGCATTGCTCCTCTGTTACGTCCTAGGTAGAGGAAGCGCTAGAAGCAGTGAAAAATGCGACAAACGAGCAAGACCTGGCAAATCGTTTCAAGGAGTTTGGAAAAGAGATGGTCAAACTGAACTATGTGGCTGCCAGGCGGCAACAGGTGAGTGTGTTTTAAAGCAGCGATTGGGAAAATGAGTCGTGGCTAGAAAAGAGCTTATGTTTTTGTTATTCTCCCATCTGTCTGTTTAGAATGTACAGTAAGCAACTGCCAGGCCATGGCCTATAATTTAATCATATTGATTTTTCCTGAATATGATTATATTTTTCAAAATGCAGTTAATTTCTTTTAAGAATATATTTTGAGTGGCTTCAATTAATAATGGAATCAAGGGTGAGAAGGGGAGTGATTCAGAAGGTTATGGGTAGTTTTCAAGTAATGATTATTCCAATTTAGTTCTAACCTATGCTGATTTGAGGTCACTCTGACAGCTGGAAAAAGATGAGCTCTCGGGTAGTCCAGTGTAATTCAAATTGAGGAAGAACAGAAAGCCAGTTCATGTTCAAAAACAACATTCTTAACTTTCAGATACTTGACAAATTCTTCCTTCACTTATTACTAAGGAAGACAGAAAAAAAGATGAGAAGTCATTATAACATTTTTTTCAGTGCTCATAATTATACAACCTGCCATTAAACACAGCTTTCTCCTGAGCACTGTTCTTGAGAGCCCCAAAGGTTCTGTCATTGTGGATCTGTATAAGGTCTTTTCACTTACGGGTGGCTAACAGTAATTATTCAGGTGTATAGTCCTTATGTTCTGTAGCGTTTCAGATCTAGTAGCTGGTTTAGAAGCAGGTTTTCCCTATTCTTCTTTTATTTTCCATTATTTTCTGCAATCTGCTTCTGTATCATTGCAGTATTTTTTACAGAATGTAAGATTTTCAGTTATATGGAATATAAATAAATTAAAGATGAAAAATAAAGTCACTATATGAAAGTGTTGTTCTGTATGTTCAGATACTTCTGTGGTGGATGTATAGTTAAAAACAGGGGATAAAGAAAGAAAAAATAGTAAAATTAATGGAGATGTATAAGTTTTACTTCTTTGCGTGTGGTTGAACTTGGCCAGTGAAAGGCCAACCTTTAAATGCAGAATATCTGGCTTTGTTTTTAATTTTGCTGCAGATAGTGGGGGTGAACATAAGTAAACCATTTACATCTCCAAAATTCAGTGTTCAAACAGAGGTTAAAATAGAATTTTATTTCTTTGGTCATTATGAATATTGTTAGACTACCTAATATTTGAAAAGCTTTCCTGAAAAATGTGATGTAACCTATAAATTAAGGAAGTCTTGGGTAAATTAGCAATAATGTCATCTTATTCTGGTGACGTAAGGTAATGCCGAGTACCTAGTCAGGGGAAATGAGAAAGCACACGTGATTAACTTTTAGAAGGAAGCTAACTCACAGGAAATCCAGCAGCCTTAAAAATCATCAAAATATATTTTGTAAATTAAGATAATAAAATAAAAATAATTATATATATATGTATAAAACAAAAAACAAGGAAGGTATTTATGTTGCTTTTATACACTAGAAACAAGCCCATCAACAAGTGGCTTTTCAGAGGGATTTCTAAGGGTTTGTTTTGTGATGTTTTGATGAGGACATAGCTGAAGTGTTTACAAAAATATGGCACTTGCTGCAGCAGTAGTGTTACACTCCCCTTGCTTTTATGAAATCAGCAGACTGAATCCAGTCAATCGGGAGTTCAATTTTGGGTGTGTTGTTTAAATTTGTTGCTGGCCTTTGGATAGGAGAAGCATCTGACTTGAGATGACGAGCTCTGAGCAGAATACAACAGCTTTAGTTACTCAAAACGACTGGCCTTTCTTGAACAGGAGGAACTTTTCTTTGGGGTTTATGGTAGACTCTGTCATAAATGCCATCTTTGCAAAATCCCAGGACATTATAATAGTTGCAGGGATGTTTAAACTGCACAGGCAATGCACTCTAATGCTGAAGCTTGAATTTACTTCTAAAAATCGTTGTGATTTTTC